GAAGAGGGAAGACTACTGCTCTCAAAAATCAGGAGCCACACTAAATATTCATAATGAGGCAGATCAACCAGTGTTCACATGAGATTATCCTCTTGTGAGGAGGTCCCAAGAAAATTTCTTTTCCTCCACTTGCAGAAAAGGGTAGGTTAGAATATGATCAAATGGATTTCTTCTAAGGCCAAAAGCAAAAAGTTCTAGAGGACTATTTGGTCCAAAGTATTATGCTCTATAAAGTATCATACTTCTAACTTAATTCCTACCTTTGAAAAAAATTCCCTTTCTCCCAATTGGAGTTTTAAAAATATACATCTACCAATAAGCATGGTATAAATACCCTTTTGTAAAAGTATATTTTTATCCATATCTGTGCACTATATTACCTATTACTAAGCATCAAGCTACTGTTGAATGAAAAGGTAACTTATTAAATAACCAAGTTAGTGTTTCAATCTTGGTTCACTGTAGGTAGGGTTGCATCTACCTTCTTATTTTGGTCTTTTGAAAACAAAACGGATCTCCTTATTTTGACAATCCAACATAGTAACAAACAGATCGTGGTTTGTTTGTTTTTAATCGGCAGGATATAGATACTTACAAATTTTATCTTGTGAATTCTCCCTTGTACTGTATCCTGAACCAAGATCTGGAAAGCCACCAACATTTTCAAAACACAACTTCTTGTTAATATAGAGAAAAAGGAGCAGCATCAGGATTATAAACACCCCAATAGCTGACAGGACTCCAACTGCCTCTGGAGATACTAGAGAGAAAAAAAGTCATAGCTATAAACATTTATGCAACTCTTAAAAAGGTAACAAATAAAAAGAAATCCCCATGCACCTATTTAAGCTATAACCTTTACAGCTTTCAAGCTCCCCCAACACTGGTTCATAATTTAAAGGTTCCGACTCATTCTGCATTTTTTCATCACATGATTTGATGCTGGATATGCAATGTACTTGTCGAGACATTTCCTATAAATTCTACCGATAGCTGAAGCATTCGATACAAAAATACGAAAGACTGCAGAACAACATTGAGCAGCATCATCACATGTTCACCTAGTTAACATAGTAAACATTTTTATTATTTTTCTAATTCATTAAACATTTATTATCTACTATGTGCAAGCATTTATTAAGCACATTCTTTAAGGATAAGACTTTGACCTTTACTCTGAACTCCATATAAATGTTCTAGGTGATGGGAATACCCCTCCAAAACAAAAAAGAAAAACAATCACTATACTCAAGGAGCTTACATTCTATTGGGAAATACAACATATACACAAATAAACAATTACAAGTGTGGGGGAAGGTTAGATTAGCCTTTAGTATTAAGACAGGCAGAAGAAGTAGCACCTGCGCTGACCTTAGAAAGAAGTTAAAGATTCCAAAGAGGCAAAAATGAGGTGTATTTCAAACACAGGGCATAGTCTATGTAAAGGCACAAAGAAAAGAAATGGACTCTTCTGGTCAAGGATCAACAAGAAGACCAATTTGGTTATAATGCAAAATGAGAAATAATACTAAACAAGTCTGGAAATGTAAACTGGAAGTTGATTATAAAAAGCTTTAACTATTACGGCATGGAATTTGTATTTTATTCTGGGGGTATAAGAGAGCCACTGAAGATGCTTGACAATGGTCAGATGGTGCTATAGAAAGACTATTTTGTCAGCTGAGTAGAGGATGAATTAAAGTGAAGAGCAACTTGAAGCAAAGAGATCCAATGCGAGATTACTGCAGTAATTCAGGCAAAAGGTGGTAAGGGCCTGAATAAGGTTGTAATCATATGGAGAGAATGGACAAATAGGTGTTATGGAGGCAGGGTCAATAATACCTGGTAAATGTTGACAGTGGGGATAAAAAGCAGGAAAAGTAAAGGATAATGCCATTTAGTGGAATAACTTCAGTCAAGTTAATGGGGAAAACTGCAATCATTCCATTCCCATCTCAAAAACCATACATGTATCTCTTCTCCCTATCAAATAAAGTCAGAAATATTTAGCCTTCCGGAGTGGATCAGAGTAGATCTCACCTGTCACTCAGTACAAAACTCCATTCCAATCACATAGGTCTGATTGTATCTTAAACAGGCCACTTCTGTGCATTTATTTTTCATGTCCGTGTCTCAGCACAGAATGTGTGCCATGATTCTTTCTCTTCATATGACTATCTTTTAAGAGAGAATTCAAATTTCACCTCCTCATTGAACTCTTTCTCAAACTCAGTGATAATTTCTCTTCAACACTTACTGCCTATACCGCATAACTGATGCTTAGTATCTACTACCCATGATAAGAACAATTTACACTTTAGGACTAACAAAGCACTTTACAGAGGAAGATGAAAACCCTAAAAATAGGGGAGAGCTCAGGAGGTATTGGTAAGGTGGCAGCTATCAATGACTTTGCAACAGAGACTCAATATTGCCTAACCCTTTAGTATTTTCTCTGTCCAAGCCCCATTCAGCCCTTTCCCTCAGTCAGAGCACACAGCACAGCCTAACACATACACACACACACACACACACACACACACACACACACACACACACATTTCCAAGGGACACAGCGAAGATTCAAGCACCTGCTAGCTTATGGTGGAAGCCTCCTACAACTGAGAAGGAACTGCTTGGGAGGAAACTGATCCTGGTTCAGCCCCACTCTCCCCCATCCCTTTAGCCAAAGGAGCTTCATGAACTTTGTAGGACTACAGGATTTGATCTTTTTCTATTGCTGCCCTAGTAATATATCTGGAATGTCAATAGACAATAGCTGTATCAGGGACAGGAAGTAGGAACAGACTGAAGAAAGGCAGACTGAAGACTTGATGGGGAGATCAGCAGAAAAGTTACACCTTGCCCATGGAGAATATATTGAAGTCCTCTAGCAAAAGAACTTCAAGAAGTTCCAAGTTACCCCTCTGCCACATGTGTTCTCTAAGCTTTAGACCACTTTCTCCTGGACTCTGTATGTCCTGGTAGGAGAATGTGTCACAGGCTTTTGGAAGAATATTTTGTATAAATTGTTCTTACTCACCTTAGTAAAGACCCCTAACTAAAAGGTACTTGTCTAGGTGACTAATGAATATCAACTGATAATCATCAGGAAAAACATACTAGTGAGAACTCCAGAGCTATAGAGAATTCAACAAACACCCCACAACCACTCAGGGTTATCCCAAGAGCCTGAGGTAGGGAAAGCAATGGCCTTTCTCTGGGTACCCAACCTATCAGTGCAAATGTGGGTTGTGAGATTAGGTTCAGAATCTACATTTGCCATACATGTCCAAATCTGAATTTATTATCCCTTTGCAAAATGCACTTCTACTTCTGACTTACAAGTCAATGGCATTGGCTATCACCTATTTACCCATATTCAAATTTGTGGAGTTACACTAATTCTTCCCTCTTTCTCATCTCCTACTTTCAGTTGAATAAAGTTAATAAAATCAATACCAGATATAGCTCTGGTCCCAAATCTTACTTTATCCAACAAATAAGCAATATAATTCTCTTCCCTTCTGGTGTTTTTCACTTTTGCCACAGAACCTATAAACCCCTCCCCCCAAAATTCAGACTCTGGTTTGGATTTCTACCTCTCCCACTGCCTTCTCACACCAAATATATTGAACTGGACATCCAGTAGATATCTTAAATTCAACATGCCCAAAACAGAACTCAGTATCTTTCCCCCTAAACCTTCCCCCTCTTCATACCTTCCCTAATAGTGTTACAGAGGGCAACATTACCCTCCTAATTCCCCAGGCTTGAAACCTAGGTGTCATCCTCAACTCTTCACTATCTCTCACTCTTCTGTATCCAATCTTTTGTCAAAATCTATTGATTTCACCTTTGCAACATTTCTCAAACATATACACCCTTCTGTCTTCTGATATGCCACCACCCTGGTACAGTCCCTTATTACCTCACATCTAGACTACTGCAATAACTTGTGGCTGGGTCTGCCTGCTTCAAGTTTCTCTTTACTCCAGTTCACCTTCCATTCAGTCTCCAAAGTGATCTCCTAAAATGCTGGTCTGACCACATCACCCCCTACTCAATAAACTCTAGCAGTTACCTATCATCTCTAGAATCAAATACAAAATCCTGTTGGGGGTTCAAAGCCCTTCATAACCTAGTCCCCTCCTATTTTTCAGTCTTTTTACACCTTATATTCTCTCTTTGATCCAATGACACTAGCCTCCTTGCTGTTCCATGAGTAAAATATTCCATTCCTTGGCTCAAGGCATGTTTTCTTGCTGTTCCACATGAAATGTTCTCCCTCATTAACTCTGCCTCCTGGCTTCCTCCAAATCCCAACTAAAATCTCACCTTCTGCAGGAAGCCTTACTTAATCTCTCTTTAGTCTACTGCCTTACTTCTGTTAATTATTTCCTATTTTCCTGTATATTGCTTTTTTATACACATTTGTTTGCTTGTGGTCTCCTCCACTGGATTATGAACTCCATGAAAGCAAGGTCTATCTTCAGCCTTTCTTTGTATCCCCAGCACTTAGCATACTGCCTGGCACATAACATATGCTTAATAAATGCTAATTAACTGACTGTTCTGGAAGGAAGAAAGGAAGGAAAGAAGGAAGGAAGGAAGGAAAGAAAGGGAAGAAGGAAGGATTTATTGTGTCTACTATGTGCCACACACTGTGTTAAGCACTTTACAAATATTATTTCATTCATTCCTCATAATAATCCTTCAAGATAGGTGCTATTATCACTCCTGTTTTACAGTTGAGGAAACTGAGGTAGATGGAGGTCATTTCCACCTTCATAACATTTCCCAAATATGTCCCCTTTTTTCCCACTCACACAGAAACACTCTGATGCAAGATCGTACAGTTAGTAAGTTTCTGAGACAGGATTTGAACTCCAGGTCTAGTTTCCTATCAACTAAACCACCGAGCTGTCTCTCTTACCATCTCCTCACTTATCTGGAGTTATCAACTCCTTGCTAATCATTTTTGTAGTCATTTCCATTGTAAAGGATATTCTCCTTTGCAGAAAAAAACAAAAACAGAAACAATTGGAATTGGAATAATAAGAATTGAACAGCTCTGTTCTCTCTCTATGGTCACTTATTATTAAATTATCTACACCAAGCAAAGGTCCTATCTGTTCTTTGATGCTCTTGAAAAAAGAACCAAAAAAAACCAACATTGACAAAGCCCATGTGGTTTTCTTTAGCTTCTCTCACCAGCCTCAGCTCATCCTGAGCATTTAGTATTTCTTATATGATTTTATAGAACCGCGGCACACTGTTATAGTCATCTTCTATTACTTGGCTTTGTTTTCATCTTCAGTACATTTCATTTTGGGGGGGAGGGGTGAGGCAATCGGGGTTAAGTGACTTGCCCAGGATCACACAGCTAGTAAGTTTCAAGTGTCTGAGGCCAGTGAACTTAAGTCCTCCTGACTCCAAGGTCAGAGCTGTATCTACTGCACCACCTAGCTGCCCCACATTTCATTTTTAAAGTCTAAGTTGGTGGGTAAATTTTCAATTCATCCATGCTGATCTCTTCAGACAAATCTCATTTTTCCTCTGATTTGGAACTGTTTCCCTTTATGACTTCAGAATTTGATTCTTGATAATGTCCTATGCTTCTTGGGCTCATCTCTCCTTAAGCATTTTACTCCCTAAATTCCTACTCCCCCTTCTTCTAACTCCTTGAAATTTGCTTTCCCAAGATGGAAGAGCATGTTCCTCAAGGGCTAGGGGTAATCTCCTCAATCAG